GGCCCCTGCCACAGCCTGCAGTGGGGGCACAAGCAGTGAGGGGTTACCTGCGGGGCTCAGACCTCCAGCAGCTTTTGGTGGAGGCACGTGGCTCGTCCCGCAGAGCGGGGAGGCTGGAGGCTGAGTCCTGCCATTCAAGCAGCGTTAGCGTGCTGGGGGAGAGGGAAGGCTCTTGCTGTTCTCCTGACAGAAATGGTTGCCAGATCTTGGGCAGCATGTTTCAGACACCCACCCCCCAGCCACCTCTTGCAGCCAGATCCCTTTTCCTTCAGCACCCTCGTTCCTGATCCATGCTGCGCTGACAGCCTGGGCCGGGGAAGGCATCATGGAGCAGGAGGTCAGTGCAGTGCAGTGCAGTGGGCTGTGGCTGTCACAGGGACCTACTCAAAGAAGCCTGGCGGCATGGCTCCTTTCTGGTCTCCACCTATAATCCAGCCTGGGTGTGCTCCCTCAGTTCCCCCAGAGCTTAGTGACTTATGTTTTTGGGGCTTGGGAGAGAAAGGATTTGCAAGGGCTATATAAAGAAGAGGTGAATTTTTTTGCACTGTGCCCATATTGACGGAGACGTTTAGGAGGCCCTGATTTCAGCAAAACTATTACTTGAGCAGCCATCAGCAGTCTGCTCCATCACTTTCCATGCTGCATACCTGTTTCAGCGTCCGGTCCCAGGGGTCATCACAGCATCCTCGGTAAAGCTTTAGCTCTTCCTCATCAGCTTCTGTCACCGTGCTGACAGGTACAACCCCAGCGGGGAAGTTCAAGACATTGTACAGCATTGTGGAGGAGATGGCAGCTGAAAGAAGCAGAGAGAACGCAGGTAGTCACAGCCTCCTGTCTTCCTTCAAACTTACACATTATGTGTCCACTGAAGCCCCTGAGAACCAGCTGCTGCTGGGAGGAGAGATTGCACAGGGCTGGTCCTCTGCAGGGCCAAGTTCTACTGCAAGAAACAGCTGCCATCAGATCACTTCATCCATGTGTCTGGCTCCATCTGCTCAGATGGCTTTATGGTAGGGGTTTTTTTTGGGTAGTTACTGCCCATAAAAATGCTTAGGTGGGCGGTGAAGCTCTACGATAGTGGATATTTCTGTCCAGTCTCAACCGCTGCAGTCCTCTGCCCTCCCAGGAAGGTCCCAGACTCACTTACTGAGGAGTTTCCCGGGGTATCCCGTGGTGAAGGCAGGCCCCAGGACAGGGCACAGCACAACGTCCAGCTGGAGTTCCCTCCACTGGGCGATGAACTCGGTGCGGTACACCTTAGGGAGGAGAGGGGAGATGACATGGAGGCCATGTCCATGCCTGGAGCGTCTCAGCTTCTCCAGGGTATGCACCAGGCTCTGGCACAGCCATGGAGGCAGCAGCAGGCAGCTGTGCTCGAGGGAAGAGGCAGGGGAGCATGTAAGTGACTGCCTCCACAGCACATGGCCAGACTGTGGCCAGGAATTGGAAAGGTCCCCTTTTAGCTGACCCCACTCCCAGGGCAGCCTTCATTGCGCTGGGGCTGTCGAATGTGGGCATTTGGGCATGAGCACTGTGGGCTTCTGATAAAAGTCCTGGCTGGGTTGACCCAAAATCCCACCTACCCCATGCCTATCTCTGTTTTGTGCCTTTCCCTCTGTCTTGTCTCCTCCCCAGCACCGTCCCCCCCCTGCACAAACCCTTTCCGAAATGATGACCCTCAGACCTGGCGCTTGCCATGAAGCCTCAACTTGTAGGATGGTCCCAGAGGGAAAAGTCCTCAGAACATACCTCTATTTCATGGTGATGATTCCACATCTCCTTCACTGACCTGCAAGTGGAAATCATAGGAACGTTTTTGAAGCTTTAAGAGGAGGAGGAATTGCTTAAATAATCCTCCAGGTTGATAAGCCTCCATGATTTTAGCAATCACTTAAAACAATACACCTTTCACAATTGGTCTGGCATGTCCTTTGGCATTTGGCCAAGCAATTAGGCAACAAATGCCTGGAAGTGGTAGAGAGAAGGTGTCTCTATGAGCTGGGATTTAATGCTCGTCTCCACCACAGGCTTCCTGTGTGACTGTATCCACCCGAGTCCCTCGATCCTTTCAGG